AAAAGTTCTTCAATCCTCACTTGTTGTCTATATATTAGGATATTAAGAGACGATTCACAATAAAATCGAGCATTGCACTAGAGAGGCCTTACATGGACAAGTTTTAGATTTCGCTCATTCTATGCTCATTTAATAAAACATGTCGAGATACCTATAAATTTAAAGTTTCATTTTTTTTCAACTTTCTATCATCGATTTCGATAATGGCGAAGTACGGCACTCCGATGTAGGTGTGAAAATGAATGTGAGTGCTCATATAGATATGAATGACATGAAGATTCAGGCACAACCCTAGATCGACAACCATCCGCCCACATATTCACATCCTAGAGAAAGTTATTCCCGAATTTATTCGTATCATATTCACAATAATTTATCAATAATCGGTTCTTTTTTATTTATCTAGTCAACAACAAGTACGTGTTGGTCATCTGCCTGGAATTATGTCCAGATGCATATGATTAATTAGTTAATTTGCTTAAAACCATAGAATATTTTACTATAAACTTCAGTTCCGATCTCGGTCTCAGCTACTTCTCCTATCCATAGTTTCGATGTCGGTAAATTTTTACTGTTTGACGTTGCACATCTCTACTTATGACCCTAACCCATGTTTTCAAAAGTAGAATATCTTTTTAGAAATATTTTGAAGATCGGCTTTGTAATGGATCTTTGAATAACGAACTTGATTTTCTGAAATCTAGCATACCAACTTATAAATGCTTTTTTCTTATGTATGTATTCTGCATTGGTTTGGTCAGATACTTTCAAAAATGTATGAACAAGCAATGTAGAAGTTCTATGGCTTTCCGAAAATTGGTCGAAACTTCTGAAATGAGTAAAACTAAACTTTGGTTTACATCTAATTCTGTCGAGAGCACTCAAGGCTGCATGCTTAAGAAAAACAATCAATAGGTTGCTCTGCCAGATTTCATAAATATAGCGTTATTGTTTAAAGATTTACTAAAAAGCCAATCTCCATAATATTTCCGGAAAGTGGACTTACTTATAAAAACATGCATCAGAGCCTGGACTATCGAAAGCTAAAAACTGCATGCCATTACCTTGCATTTTATGTGGGCTTTTCAAAAAAAGTATCCGAATGTCTTTACTTTTGTTACTGATACAAATAACGGAAAGAAACTCTTATTCAATATTAAATTTTTAGAAGAATTTCTCACTAACAAATTATATTGTAGTGATTACATCACCAAATGGAGAGGAGGTAAAAAGTTGATAATGTAATGCTCCAATGGCTTCGTAATAATCGCGTCCAATCTTAGTGTCAATTAAAACTTAATACATAATCAACGAAATCCACAGTATTTAAAAGCAAGAGCATAATGATTACATAGTAGAATACTTAACGCAAGAAATTGATTAAATCTTATATTCTATCTGAATTCCGTATTTATTTTTTATAACAAATAAAAAAAAACAAAGTAACTGATACAAAATCAACTTGTTTCCATTTCTTTAAATGTTTTAACACTGTCTTCATATTTTTCTAAAACAATTGAACACATTTGTTTTAAGTCCAATAAACCTTGTCGAAATATATCAATCGCTGGTACTGCTGTTGAATCTTCATTTATTTTTGATTGTATTCGAAAATTAATTTTCGATTCTGATGGATGAGGAATTGTATAACCACAAAAATCTACAGCTGGATTTTTCATAATAACATATCGTAGTGAATTTCCTAATGTATGATCTTCATCACGAATAATAAATGAAAGATTAGGTGCACCAACAGTTGATTTTGCATTTGTACCATCATCAACTGGACAAACTTGTAATTTTATATAATCATTCGATTGCATCTAAAACAAGGAAAACGTTGTTTTTTTTTCTCTATTCGACTACGAGTTTTATTTGATAAAAAGAAAAGACAAACGACCAAAAGGTTTAGTTTTATTAAACGTTTAATTCAGCCGGTTTATTTGAATTCGGTGTAACACTTGATGCATAGTTTTTTAATGCTGGTTCAACTTCACGTGAAATAAATTCATAAACCTAAAAGCAAAAAAAAATAAGATTGAAAAACAAATGAATACTTAAAGTTAATGAACTTATCAGAGAACGTCCTTAGATGTTCCCTTCCAATTTCAATGATTTTTTGTCTTGATCTGAAACTTTGCATAGATAGAAATCATTGAAATCGGAAGAAAACATCTAAGAATGCTCTCTCGTGCGTTAGTTTACTTGTTCAGGTGCTCGTCCAATGAATGTTTTAGCATCAAGAAGAACATCAAGTTTATTGAGAATGGGTGCAAAATATGGATCATTTTTAACACGTTCAACAAGATCATTATCTAACCCATCGATTTTAACGCGTTCAGCAGCTTTTTGTGATAATGTACGAATTTTTTCATGGCATTCTTGACGATTACCACCAGCAGAAACCTAGAAAGATTCTATTTATAATTTAAATATTATTTAAATTGATTTACCATTGCCATAATTATATTTTCGGTAGCCATAAATGGTAATTCTTGTTTGATATGTTTCTCAATTACCTTGACGAGAAAAAAAAAAGGTTCTATCACTTGTTTAGTTAATTTTATTTACTTTTGGATAGACAACAAGACCTTCGGATATATTTAATAAGGTAAACAAAATTATATCAGCAGTAAGAAAAGCTTCAGGAATACAAATACGTCTAAAATGAAAAATAAAAAGTTTTTCGAATAGATCAAAAAAAAATACATATATATATATAAGATTTTTACTTATTAGCACTATCATCCAATGTTCGTTCCATCCATTGAACTGAGTGTGTACCAAGTGGATCATTAACTAATGTCATTAAATGACGTGCAAGTGAACAACATCGTTCACATCTCATTGGATTACGTTTATACGGCATTGCACTTGAACCTAATTTAAATAAACGATTAATTTTTATTTATTATTCGAAATAATTCATACCGATTTGTTCAATTTCAAATGGTTCTTCGATTTCTTTTAAACTTGCTAATAAACGAATATCAGTACACATCTTAAATTCAAATAATCAATTATTCAGTTGATAAAACTCAATAATAAATAACCTTATGAATTGTACCACCAAAACTGGAAAGAACACTAACTACTTCAACATCAAGTTTACGTGTATATGTTTGAGCACAAATAATAAAAGCTCTAAAAAAAAAATAATTCATTTTGAAAATATGAATTACATTCATACACAAAGAAACCAGAAAAATAGTGTCTACATTTAGATCGAATGATCTCTAGAATAATTTGAACGTTTCAATCAGACTACATATCGTTTTGTTAGAATATCAAATGTTCCAAGAAATTTCTTAACTTAAATACAGCAAAACTCTATGATTTATCATGTAAAATTTATGCTTATATGTAATACATGCATTTCTATTCTCATTCAACATATTATAAGAAGGTTTTTATTTTTATCTTTTTTAAATAAAATATTACTTTGAAAATCCAGCCATTTCTGTAACCATTCGATCTAATTCTTCAACCTATTCAAAAAAGTATTTTTTTTTCGAAAATATTACTGATTATCTTACTTTAAAATGATCTCCATTAAATAATTGTAGAAATGATGCTTGAGTTCCTGTTGTACCTTTAACTCCACGAAATTTTAATTGTCTTTTTACTCGTTCAAAATTTTTCAAATCCATTAATAAATCTTGTATCCATACACATGCTCGTTTACCCACTGTTGTCAATTGTGCAGGTCTTTTTTTTAAAAGTAATCATAAATCAATATTTTCCTTTTATTGTTTTTTTTTTTTTTGACAAAATACATACTGCATATGAGTATAACCAAGTGTTGGTAAACAAGCATATTCTTGTGCAAATTGTGTTAGTCGTTGAATACATCGAACAAGCTAATATATATTCAAGATAAAAATTTTAAAAAAAAATCTCCTTTTGTTTTTTACTTTATTGATAAGAATATCAAATCCATCTCTCATAACAATTAGATCCTATATAGAAATAAAAGTCATATTAATAATGAAGAATAATATATAACATACAGCATTATCACCAACAAAAGCAGATGTAGCTCCAAGATGAATAATAGGTGAAGCTTTTGGACAACAACGAGCAAATGTATGAACATGTGCCATAACATCATGTCGTCGTCGACGTTCTTCAGCTTCGGCAATATCAAAATCAATATTTGTTAAATTTTTTCCCATTTCATCTAATTGTTCATCAGTAATATCTAAACCCAATTGCTACAGTCAAGATAAAAAAAAAAAAAAGAAGTTAATCGTATGAAAATGTTTTTGTTCGTTCTTAAATAAATAAATTTACTTTTTGACATTTTGCTAACCAAAACCAAAGACGTCTCCATGTTGAAAATTTTTTCACATCACTAAAATTATAACTCATTTCGGCCGAGGCATAACGTGAAACTAAAGGTGATCGATATTTTGAACGATCATCAATTGACACAGTACAAGAAGGAGTTGTTTGATCTTTTCCATTATTTCCATTTGATATACTACCAAGATGATTCGTTTTCATTGATTGTTGATCCTGTGTTGAAAAGGATTCTGGTCGAGATTGTCGTTGATTGTCATTTGTTGTCACACCTGAATCAGACATCTGAAAAGAGAATTACGACGTAAAGTTATATATGAATGTAGGAGAAATTAAAAAAATCACTTATTTCAGTAGTAATAAAAATAAGCTCAAGGAAAATTTTCTCGACTAAAGTAAGTCACTGTTTATATTTTCTTCGCTATTCACTTCTCGCACGTTCATTTTGATGCAATATCAAAGTCTACTTAAACAGGCAGCACACATGTACATACATATTTGCGCGTCTTGCATATAAGGTTGAGTTTATTTTTACTTTTTCGTTTTTTCTTCTTCTCATTCGATGACAAAAATAGGATAAAAAAAAGGAGTGAATGTTGTTTATCAGAAATAGACTTAAGTAAGAAAAAAAAAAAAACAACCTGATGAAATACATTCTTTTATTCTATCGTTTTCTTTTCTGCAAAAGGAAAATACTATCAGTCATTTTTTGTTAATTGATGAGCGAGTAAATTAATAATTGATTGTTCATCGTTGATTTTCATTTGTGAATGAAACATATAAGGTAGATTATCACCATCAGACCAAATAATTGCTAATGAATGTTTTTTATTTTGATTATTTGTTGAAGATAAATTTTGAATATAATTATCGACTGAAATATCACGTAATGATGAATGACGATATGTTCGTATTGATAAATTATCACGAAATTTTTCGATTAGATCAAGTATATTTTTTGATGGTTGTTTAGCTGAAAGATGAACAACTAATTCTTTACGAATAGGTTCCGAACATAAATCAATTGATTTATTTTGTTTTTTTTCATAAATAACAAGTTGACTATATAATTGTTCAAGTTTTTCAAGTAAAATATCTTGTCGTTGTTCAATATCTTTTAATACTGAATCATTCGTTAATTGCTAAATTAGAGAGAAAAAAAATACAAAGATAATTATTTTATTTTTACATGATATTCAAATTCATTTTTATGTACTATACTACGAATCTAATTAATGAGAATATTCCTATTTAGTTTATTTTTATTTTGATAATATAGAAAAAAAACGATTTTTTTTTCTTCATTTTAAAACAATATAATATATTTAATTTACTTTATTTTGTTGTGATATAGGTTGTACGGAATACATTGATGTAGGTAAATCAACTTTAATCGTTTCTGAATTATAAGGACGTATAGAATACATAGTTTCGTTTTTTGGTTAATATCTAGAAATAACATAAGCAAAACAAAAATATTAACTGTTTTATTTTCTTTTGTATATTGTATAAAAGAATTGCTTTATTTTCTTTTTTTTTTTTTAATTAGTTGAATTTATTGATGTTTTTTTTTGCACATGCTGTGCAAATGTTTGTGCGACAATCAATGGAAATATTAATGTAGCATCACTATGAACTTTAACTGGTTTGGCAGCAGATCGAATTTTACCCCATGATACAGCTTCATCGGGAGTAGCACCCGCATCGGATCCATCATATTCCAAACCTGTATTGATATAAACTGCATAGTCAGCTCCATTACGCATTAAATTAGCATTGCCTAAAGTTATTAGAAGATTTTTTTTTATTTTCTTATACGTTGATCATCGATATATCTCAGTAATTGATATTAAAAAATTTTCTCAGTTGTGTTTTATATTCGTCCAATAATAGTAAAGTTTTTTAAAGAAAATATCTTCTAGAAATTGGTACGTATTGGGTGAAGAAGTTACTAGTTGGTCTTCTTTGCAAATAATAAGATTAGATAAATACTTCTTTAGTGTTTTTGTAGACAATCGAATGAGAATACTTCTGAAATTTAGCACATGTTTCTACAAGGAATTAATTACATTCCCAAGAGAAGAAAAAAAACAGATCTAATCTGTCATAATGAGTAGTAAAAATAATGTCTGCTTTCATTTTGAGTTATAGGCATTTCACTCGATATTTACCTATAAATAGGCCTCATAGTCATTAGAAACACCAATTTTCGGCTATATTTCAAAAAGTTGACATTTCATTGACAAGCTTTTATCTCGATACAGATAAGTTTGTTTTGGCTCTAAATTATGAGGTCTTTCTACTAATTATAAAACCTCTATCTATGCAAAAAACATTTCAGTTCGAAATTCGATCATTTATTTTTTTAGCGATTTTTGTGCTCATAGAACAAAAATGTTTGTTATCGACAATAAGTGCAAGACTAGCTTCAGAAAAACAAAAGATATTACATTGTAGATTTGCTCATTTTGTTGAAAATATTTCTTAGACATGTAATCTTAGCCACTGAAGGTGAAGAAAACTTTCGGTAGTTTATCGTACAATTCTTCGCTCCCAAAGGCGATGAAAAATTTTGACACTACTATGCCTAAATATAGGATAGATTTCAGTCTACTAAAGCCTTGTGTCTTCATCCATCTATGTACATTCTATATCTCGATAACTCCTATACTACTACTTAATTGAATTTTACCTCGAGAATAACTTACAAATATGATGTTTTATAACTCCACCACCTAAAATAAGCATTCCAGTTGATTTAGCATGTACAGCTAAATTATTAATGGTTTTTAAATCTTCTAATATATCAATTTTTAAACCTGGTTTACGATATGAATGAAAATATAACATATCACCTAAACTTCCATCTGTTATAGCTGGACAAAATACTGGTATATGATTTTTTGCACACCAATAATAAATTGATTCTTCATTATTAATTTCATTTCCAAGAATTTCAATTAGTTTTGATGGTGTTAATATACAATTATTTGTATTTTCATTAACAATACGATCTAATATTGGCATAATCCAATCTTCAAATTTACAATAATTATCATTTGGTACTAATAAATTTCCAATACGATTTATTCCATTAGCTCGTAAATGTTGTCCATTTAATGTAAATTCCCCAACATATGTTGGTGCTAAACATTTAATAAAATCTTCTTCAATACCACCAGCTGTTGTAACAATAACATGAATAAGTTTATGTTGACATAAATAACGGATTATATCACGACAACCACTTGAAACTATATTTGATGTATAACCAAAAAAAATTATTGAATTACTTTCAATCATTGCATCAATTTGTTGACATGCTTGACCAAAATTTGTTGCTTGGAAACCAATAGATGAATATGAACGTAATAAATTAAAATAATCAATTGATGAAGATTTATTAAAATCATAACCATGAACAATTAAATGTGATGAAAGATCGATAGATGATGATGTAGGTTTAAGTGTTGCTTCAAGAGCAATTGCTGGAATATCATCTTTTGATGTTTCTGACATGATGAAATAATATAAAGTAATGTTTCGAAATCCTCAATCGAAACATCTTGCAAAAGAAAGTAAAATATTTGTATGAATCATGTATGTCCCATTTTAATTGATTGTGTATCTTTATGATGATATTGTAAAAATATGGTTTCTTGTTAGTTCCAGAAAAAACATTTTTAACTTTATAATTCAATAGATTAATGATATTTGATAGAAAATTTCAAGAGTAATATAGAGGGCGTTAGTATCCATTGAGAAAATAAAATCTCTGTTTATTCTAGCGGATTTCCTAAAGAGACAAGTGTGAAACAGTGAGCTTTCTTTTTTTTACACTAACTGATTGATCAGACAATATGTTCACATCATAAGTAGAAAAAATGAGCCATCTATATGCTAGGCGTATTTTTTCAAATATTTGCAACGTATGCGTTACAGCACAAAGTTTTAGTTAAATTACAAATAGAAATTATAATGTAAGAATTTTCAGTATTTAGACAAATGTAATATTCTAAGATTAAGGAGAGATGCACTCGAATTGTTATCCGCCGTTTTAGCTTATATTAGACATACAAGGACACATTGATGAGACTAGCCAAAGTCTAAAACAAATAATTTTCAATAACCATTGAAGCCGAGTTAGAATCGTATTACTAAATTTTTAAGTAAGCTCGATTTTTGTATCATACTTCTGACAAAAGAAGACTCATTTCAACAAACAGTTTCAGAATACTCAAAGAGTCACTCAATCTATCTATGGACTAAATTGTAGAAGCTTTGATGAAATTTTCAGAAAACAAGAGCTGATCAACTCAATTTAATTCAACTGAAAGAAATTTTGGAATTTGTTGCTGTAAGATCAATTTACATAATAAAACTAATAAAAGGTCAAATTATGACTATAGTTTATTTTATATAATTTCTCTCCAGGGATTTTATCTCGAGATAGCTGAATTACACTCGTGTATATACATTTCTTTTGCCTTCACGCCATCTTATCGTTATTTTCTTTTTTTTCTTTCTTCGATAAAAACATAATTTATGTATCCGAGCTCTTCATGTAACGATGTTTTTTCCTATTCTTTCGAGGTCAGAAGTACAATATTCATTTATTTTTATCTATTAGGGCAACATCACACATAGCTTTTGTTTCGATTGACTGATGCGATATCTATTGTTAAACATATATACGTCTTATCATATATTTATCTTTTGTTGAATGATATGTACTGCAGCTATGACCTTTTCTTGTTGTCCTACGATTGTTGTTGAATAAATACGTTAAATTATTCTATTGTAAATAACTTCAGTTGTATTGTGATGTGGAGTCAAACTCTTTCTAACTCGTTCAATGAAGAAAAATAATCTAGATCAATGATCTCGAGGTTCGGATTTTTTAATTTCTAATGGGAATACGCTTGAAATCTCCAGAAAATGTAAGCTCGTTTTTCTTGACCTGAGAAGAACACATGTATTCACTAAACTTTTTCATCGGTATATAATTTTTGACTATGTTTCATATAATTGAAAAAAATTAATAATCACAAACTTCATGAAATTCTGTTTCCATTGTTTTGCAGGATTTTATTAAAACACGGGCATTTTTTTACCATCTAATAGAAAATATGAAGATAATGACTCAGTTACGATATGCTCTATACTTTCAGGAGTATTTAGAAATCTATTAATCATAGAAACATTAAACTGAGACTATCAAATTGATATATTCTTTGATTAAACTAGCTGATTAGTTTCATTTGTGCAAGATTGATGTACAAAAAACAAATCAAGTAAACTCAAGCATTCGTACGCGTCGACATAAGTTGTGATCTCAAATATGGCTACTTTTGTTTATACGTAGATAATTTCTTACAGTAATTTTTACTCAGCTAGCCGTATTTATAATTAGAATACGGCACTTTTCAGCATAGAAAAAATTGTGTAATTTTAGATAGTTGAAAATGAACAAAAATAAAACTATAGTGACTCTTACGTTGAATTATATTTTATATGTCAAATTAGTTTGGTAGTTATTTTTCAGCTAATATTCCTGAAAATCCTTTCTGATTACAGGAATTAGCAGTCATTCACTTCGAGTCATCTTACATGATTCATAGTATACTTCTAATGATACATATCAAATCATATAGAGTCACTAAATATCTGTAATTTAAGAAGGCGAGTATGGCAACAATACATGGTTGCTTTCTTATTTTGTTTTTCTCTTGTATTATGAGTATATTCGAAAACCATTTTTTTTACTTTCATGCAAAACATGGAGTAAAATCCAATATAAATAAATTGAAATAAGTATAATCAATTGCTTTGTTGAACAAGAATTTTTGTATTTAACTTTCAGCATTTTCATTGAATGGTAGAAAAATTTAAAGAAATATTTTGTTTTCTAACATAAATGTATGATTCGACTCGAAATCAAAGATATCTGATTCGGATTTTTTTTCTTTTAAATCAAACTTATTCGACACATTAATAAATACAGTAAATCATTAATATTATTCCGAATTTCATGTATCTATTAAATGTTACATTGAATATGTTTTTTTTTTGTGATTGTATTATTTTAAACTGATAATCTACAAGGAAAAAACATATATAATTTATCTAAATGCAAATATTAGAATGTTCAAAAAAAATTCAGATTGTATAGCTGTTCTCATCTCTTTCTTTTGATTTTCATAGAATTAAAAAAAAACAAAAAAAAAAGGAGGTCATGAGTGAGTGATGGTGGAGTTAGGTGGTAGAATACATTTTAGATAAACCATTACTTTCGGACCTGAAACAGGTCATGAGTGAGTAATGGTGAAGTTAATTGGTTGAAGATCAACAAAGATAAACCATCACTTTTGTACCTCCATATTTCGTTAGAATAAATTGCTATGTTAAATTGAAATCAAATTGATGTTGAGTAATAACGATGCGACATAATAAAGAACGATACAAAAAAATAATAGTTTCTTACGAAAGACACTATGTATCTAAATGTATATCATGTTCGTTAAGTAATTACTCAAGATTGAGTTATAATGCTCTTATCAACATGAAAAAGAGGTTCGATAGCGTTGGATTATGATAAAAAAACTATTGTGATTTTTACAGAGTTGCCGGATTGAAAAGTTTTAAATCGAAATCTTGGTGATGAAAATTTAAAAGGCAATTAATTGATGTTTAAATGCATATATTGTCTCTTTTTATCGAAATCTCCTTTGTTCTATCAGTATTTTTATGTAAAAAATATATAATTATTACATTAGCATAATGAATATGCATTAATTTCTGAAGATAAGGAGAAATATCGAAGTTATAATGAAGCTTATAAAAGCTCGAACCTAGCAAAATATCACAACTCAGAAAAAAAAATCGAAATTTTTCTGCCATTTTGCAAAAATCTGACAATCCTGAATCAATAATTTCACATCAATCTAATGAAATTTTAACTTTTTGAATTAAAATGAGGTTATGTTATAAATTTATTATACTAATATTCTAATCACTTTTCATTTTCTTATAACATGCAATTTTCTAGCAATATAATACAAAATATGTAGATTTCAAATCAGCATATTTTATGCATATCAATTACAGGTTGATTTATACGTTTTACTATTGTTATGATTAATTTTTGTAGATCAAGATAATTGTTTGTTACAAGTAATTGTGATCATTATGATGTCATAGAAGAAAAACTTGCTTAAAATGTTTTTCTCAACTATAAAAGCAACAAATTATCCTTTATGATTCTACTATCATCTTTCCTGTAAATCAATCAGGTTTTATGTAAAACAAGAAATAATAATTTAAAATTCAAATGGAAACTATTTGAAAGATAATAATGTTATTTTTGTAATACACTACTTTCATGAAATCCTTATTGATATAAATATCTTGATTCAAAGACATTTGAAGATTATTCACAAGATGAATATGCTGCCCAAAATAGGTCTGTTACATTTTTCAAATATAGAAAAGTCTCTATATTTCACTCACAAATATTTAATAGCGGATAGCAATGTATCATATTTTCTTTCTCACGATATAAATATTTCGTATCCAAATATATTCGAAGTGTGCAACGTATACGTATCATATTTCAAAGTCAACCATAGTTGACAGAGCAAGAATTTTCAGCGTTCAATCGATTTATTTTCACAAGAGAAATGCTTGTACATATATGTTATTGCACTAATTCTATCACTATTTTTAAATCTTTATAGTTCATAGAAGTAATAAATACAGGGAGAAAAAAAAATTTCTAGTTTCGGTAGAGGATTTATGTGCTACTTTGATGAAATTTAGATGGCATGCAGAATATGGGCGTGTGAAAGAAAGATCAATATCCATACTCCAGAATGAAGAGAATTGTGATCATGTGACATATGAGCCATATTGTATATTCATTATTGGTCAGAGTCATATAAACGAATCCAAGAAAAGACTATAATTGCAGTTTTGACAAGAATAAAAAGGAATTCATTTTACTCATCCAATACACGTCGAACATGTGCACCAATGGGATTCCTGTGTAATGACATTTTATGTGATATATTTGAAAATCTTACTCTGTGTGAAAATTATGATGCCGTCCATAGTGCAATTGATTAGTTCAATGATCTCCTGACATTATATGATCGTAGCCGAAAAGCTAAGTTGGGCCTCATCGACGATGATTCAGAAAACTTTTTCAGCCTCATTCTTTCGTATATTAATACTAATAATGCTGTTTCATTAACTACAAACACCAGCCATATGGTCGTCATACTTGATCATTTTCCATACGTTTATAAAATTACATTTATTGATTTCCGATCTAATCAAGTATGTCTTCCGAGGTCTAAATCACGTACAATATCTTGAATACATTTCTATAAAAATGTGTACTAACTTGATGATCACTCGACATATATTCACATATCGGTACTTTGTAATACAAAATGTGCATGGTCAGACTTAATTCAATTGATTTCTTCTCTTCTCTTATGGATTATTGTTTATGTAAATTATGTTCAACCAGATACGGTTAGTAATAGTGATCGTTACGCTAATGCCGCATTTCCAATTTTTAACCTGCGTGATCTTCATATGTTAGAATTTGTTGGGGAAAAATGTTGAATGAAAACAGCTAAGTGAAAAATGTTGTGACAATAAATATAAAAAATTATTAATATAAGTATCAATAAAAGAGAGAAAAATATCGGCAATATTATGAACTTGACCAGACTACTATCGACTATTTTTTGAACAAATTAAGTTTACAAACGAAATGATCAAATTCAATCATTGTCAAGGACATCGGATAATAAAGAGTACATTGTATCGTTGAAATCTTTTCCGTCCACTTCGAGTATTGACTTTTACTTTCTAAATAAATTTGTTTTGAATATGTGGTACTTCTATTCAAAGCAATAAGATTATTTAACAACATAAAAGAGAAGGTTTTTATTTTCAGAAAGCGATTCCTATCATTCTGAAAGCATTGTTTAACCAATATATATAATGGCTAATTAGAACAATGTATTCAATTTCATATCCACATTCATGTATTCAACCACAAGTTCAATGAAAAAAAAACATTCATTCAAAAATCATGAATATTTTATTATAAACAATCTACTTCCATTTTTTACTAAAAAATTACTATTTTGAAAAATAAATCGATTAAAACTTGATTTTTTATTCGATAATCACTTGAGGAAATAATTCTTTTTATTTTTGAAGATTATAATCGATTATAACTTTCAAAATCAACTAAAATCTCAATTTTATGAAAGCTAATTGAGAGATTCTCAGATGATTATAATTAACTGTTGATAATTAAATCAGATGTATATTATTTGAGGTCTAATATAATGCTATCACTTCATTCGAATTAGAAACCTTATATACACATAGAAAAATGATTGTTTGATTCGAATTAACTTAATTAAATTGCTGGAACAGAAACTCCGATTTATGCAATAGAATTTGAATCAGTCTATAACAGCTCTTGACAGACACAATTCGTTCATTTTATTAATATGTACAAAAAAAAACAGGATACTACTTTGTACAATTGTAAATCGTAATCTACAAAAAAAAATAATTTATAAAGTTGCATGTATTAAAATATTGAAAATTATTTCAAAATGTATAAATATTTTTATCTCTTTCTTTGTATTGTCATATAACCAAAAACAAAAAAGAAGGTCATGAGTTAGTGATGGTGAAGTTAAGTTTTCGAGTAATTACGGATAAACCATCACTTTCGGACCTCCGTACGTCCTTGGAATAGAATTGTATGTTAAGTTGAAATCAAATTGATATTGAGTAATAACATTGCGACGTAACACTGAATGCAAAAGGAAAAAATTGTTCTTACGAAAGACACATTGTATTTATGTAAATATCATATTTTTCAATTAATGTTGGCGCCAGAAGTAGATGGAGAAAACTCAAGGAGGAATATCTCCTGAACGGATGTAGCTAGCGACCTGCGGGTTTCACCATTAGAAAGAAAACACCCAGGGACCTCCACACATGGTAAAATATAATTGGTTAACAATGGACCAATGAGATGCATTCTCGATGGAAATGTTGAGCACGGTATTCTGGAGCTGTTTCTCAACTTTGCTCGATTGTTAATTTACGTTTTTGATAGAAAAAATTGTTCTCTTTCGATCTACGAAAAGCCCGCCTTTCTAGCTTGTTCCGTTCAAGAGTTATAAGAGTTTTCCTGAGACCCCTGATTTCAGCCAATTGACCTTGGATCACCTAGGAAACAGTCTGGGATGGGGTAATTCATCATGCTGAGTCGAATGGTGATATTTGTTTT